TATTTGGTTATTGTTGCAGCAGCTGCCTGGGAGGATGATCTCAGATGATCTTGGAGGTGAAGCTGGATGTGGTGGTCCTAGGCTGGTGTGGTGGTTGTGAGACAAGTAGTGGTGGGCTGTCTAAAGCTGAAGGTCTGGAACATGTATTAAAAAAATTAAAAAAACACTGTAGCTCTGTGTTGGAGCTTGATTCGTCTGGCAAAAGTCATGTGATCAATGACGTCAGAAGCTTAGACAGTGCTGAAGTGACAACACTGCTTTGGTACCTCAGAGGTTTTTGAGGAAGTAAATAATTCATGGTGGGTTTTAATGGTGCAATTTACACAAAATATAACAAAACAGCAAACTGCATACAGTGATACATGGAACCAGCCAGCCTGATGTGTTTTATGGTTAGTTTAACAGGTTATAGCACTTTAACCCCATTAAAGAAAAATAAAGGGGCACAAAGGGGCACCATGCCATGCTACATGCTTTAAAGTTTATTCATTGTTATTTATTCATCAATTAACCATAACTTTATTATTTCAACCATAAAAAAAATAAACATTCAAAGCATCACAATGTGCCTGATATCAGACACACAACATAACAGGATTTTAACCAACAAACACCTCATTTCATGCTGTAATTTCAAGCTGATCTTTATACTTTTGTCCACAAGAAGACACCAAAGAGGACTGTGTCGCAAAGCTTAGCGTAATGAACCCTTTTTGGAAACAAGCTTCAGTGCGTCAGAAAAGCTTGATCTGCCCTTCATTGGAGGTCAGTTGGATTTACTGCCAAATTCTCTGAAACACCTTTGGAGATGCTTTATAGAGAAATGATGTTCATGGGCAATATCTCTGGTGGACATTCCTGCAGTCAGCATGACAACTGCACACTCTTTCTCAAAACTTGTGACATCTGTGGCGTTGTGCTGTGATAAAACCGCACATTTTAGAGTGGCCTTTTATTGTGGTCAGCCTAAGGCACACCTGTGCAACAATCATGCTGTCTAATCAGCATCTTCATGTGTCACACCTGTGAGGTGGATGGATTATCTTGGCAAAGGAGAAGTTGTCACTAACACACAACAGTATTTGAAAGAAAAAGACCTTCTGTTCAATGTTTTTAACCAAAGGTTCTTATTTTTCACATTGACTTCCAAAAGCTGCTCCACAGATGGTAACATACAGGCTCGGTGTCTTATAAATCAGCAGGCAAGTCTGTGATTAGAAGTTTTAAGAGTGGAAGCGCAAGAAATATAAGAAAATGGACCCTTTATTTTCAGGCCATCTAATCTAGAGTTGTGCTTTTTTACCTACCGGTAGTTTTAACTTGGATGCCTTATCGTGTCATCGTCGTTTCCACCTTTTTAAAAAGGTGGAACAAAATGTCTCATTGCTTTTAGTAAATCACTTCAATGTTCTCTTTTAACACTGGCTTATAAAGTGAGCTGGCTGGACCTGAAAATCCATCATGAACCAAGAGATTTAAGCTAAAAGCATAGTTGAACACTTCTTTTTTTGTTTTCCACTTCAGTCTAGTCTTGAGTTTGTACTGGCATGGGCTTCTCGTTGTACGCAAACATTGTAGAGCACAGACATGAGAACGTGTGTTCTAGAAGCCCAGTGTCCAAACCTATGGTGAAAGTAAGGACACATTTAAGTTGAATACAAAAGTCAATAAGACTCTTTGCTGGTGGCTGAAATTCATGACGGTCACTGACATGAAATGCAGCATTTTGTCACAGAATCCTTAAAGAAATGGTTCGTAAGAAACGCAGTGTTGCACGTAACGACTTTAGCAAAGGAAGCTGAACTTTTCATGTTTGCTTCATTTGAACTGATTGATACGTTTGGACAGATGGAGAATCCTCTGTAAAATGGAAGCGTGCGTGCAAATACATTCTCAGCTGTTTCTGGGGAGCTAAAATATCCACTCTGTTGTTCACAATGGAACAGAACCATCTGCACTGACAGGCTTGTTCCACTGTGTGAGACTGGGAGCCGGTTGGAGGTCTGTGGTTTGGTACAGTTGGACTGACTCGGCTTATGTGTGTGTGTTTCTTGGCAAACTTGTGGGCCTCTCCGTTTCACACCTGATTAAAAAAGTGGACCCATTAATTGTTCAGCTATCTAAAAATGTGACATTTTTCATTACATTGTCTTTCTTTCATATTAACCGCTTATATTTATGTCACATTCTGAAGAACAAGACAGCTAAAAAGTCAGTTTATTCAATTATTCTGGGTGTTTTATCTTATTTTCCAATACATTTTTGAGTGTTTTGAATCTAAGCTGAGTTTGCTTTTCACTCTTAAGGTTTCTGGGCACCAGCAGAAAACACACCCAAGCGAGCAAAATCAAATGCAGAAGACCTTACATTAATAAAATCAGGCAGTTTGAAAAAAGAAAACCTGATCCTGAAGTTGGCTGAAATGTTTCTTTAGGAGAAGATTATAAAAGTAAGCAGGCCAAATCAGTTTTTTTTTTTAAGTGAGGCTGTGTGGAGTAAGTTTGAGCAGTCAATATCTTACCTGCTGTGGGTGGCAGTAAGCACAATCTCAGTTTGGAAAATTAGGGAAAAAATTGTGTGGGAGTGTAAAAACTAACCACTATGCAGAGCATTCAAGGAATAATTTTTGTTGTCTTATGCAATCCAATCTCATAACCCCCTTGTAGCTCAAACATATGCTCGATTATGTTTAAATGTAGCCTTTTCTCATGAGACTGTTGTTGACGATGTCATTATGTTCTTAATGGAACAATGTTCAAGTTGCTTCAGTACCAGCGTGAATGCTGGCTGCTAATTATTTTCATGAATTCATTCAATCTTTATTTACACAGATAAATCACATTGAGCCTCGAAGACTCATTTACAAGTCAGACCTGTTTAGACGGACAAAAAGTAATGAAAGTGACACATGTATAGGATTTGGAGGCAAAAAAAATAAATAAATCATATCAAACTCTTTCTCCTTGACCGAGGAGAAAGACCCTGATATTGAAAAAAAACACCCCGCACAAAGACACACAGTGATGTAGACATTCTGCAGGGGAGGGGAGACGACAAGAGCGGTGATCATGTCAAGGACACTCCAGAGGTACAAGAGTTCTGATAAGAATGGTACAATCAGTCAGTTCCCTCCGGTGAGATCCATAAAGACTCTTGTGCTGAGGTCGACCTGGAACAGCGCCAGAGAGAATCCGAGTCCTGAAATGATGACACAATGTTTATTCAGCCGGGTCCCTCTGATAGGTCCACAAACTTCCTCAGTGGGAGGGGACGGGAGGGGGCAGAGCGTCAATTTGCAGTGTCTCCAGGCAATTGAGATAAGGTGGCCAGTCAAGGTCAGCCGGGAAGCCAAATTCAGATAAGCAACAATTGTTTTGAGAAGAGGCAGAAATTTACTGATTCATGTCTGCCTCGAGTCTTTGCTGGTCCTCTCAAATCCCAACCGTCCATATTAAGTGGGCAGACGCAGGCAGTCTGACCAGAGCCAAATTTGCTACCGACAACTTCCTTGTTTGTTGATAGACCAGGAACCAGCCGAATCCAAAAAGCAGGAAACCAGCTGTCATAAATCCAATTGTATATGCATCCATGGTGCTTGTCTTCTCGCCGAGAAAAGTCGGCTCGCCTCAAGCTTGTCGTCTCGTTGAGAAAATTTTATCAGTTGTGTTGAGAGACCAACTGACCAGATCCATAGCAAAAATGCATGGTTTGGAAGATGTGTAGAGAGAGGCTCTGAAGCAGTTTCACAGACAGGACAGAGCAAAGCAAAGCAGAGGAGGGAGAGGAGAGGGAAAGTGTCCGCCCTTAACAGGAGCTAGTAGTGAATGATGAATTTCATAACAAATCTGCCGTAGCTCACAGTTCCCCTGGACTAAACCTAAAACTACAACTGTTAATAAAATTGACATTTACAAAAGCAAAGAAAACACGCCCTTTTCTTTGGCTATGAGAAAATACTATTGAAAGCCAGATTGCATGGTGGAAAAAAGCATTAATCAGAAAGACAGACTCCTATTGGACTTAGCTAGTCTGTGTCAAATGTTTTTTTCGTAACCTATAGCCATAGTTAGCATAGCAACACAAAAATTTGGTTGGCAAAATAGTGACAAAATAAACAACTGTCTCAAGTTGGTGTGTCATTTCCTTAAACCGATAGAAAATCTTTAAGTTTGAGTTGTTTTAGATCAGTAATCTTCACTTGAATAGCTTGAACTTCTTTAGTCAGAACTCTCTACTGCAGGTAAGACACTAACTACACAGAGTTAGAGGTAAAATTGTTTAGATTGACTTCTCTTGTCTCTTCCTTTCAGGGGGAAAAAATTGACCAACCTAAGAACAAATATTACAAGATTTTATTTTTTAACATGCACCTGACTCCATTTTATTAGTTGATACAAATCAAACTCTGATTTATGAAGAATTAAAATCCAAGCCAGCTCTTAGACATTAAACACATCAATGCAATATACAGAATGGCAATGGTTTCAACAAATGGTCTGCACAGCTGCTGCACAGAGACAACATATTTTAGTTCAGCTAAAAAAAAGGGCTGGCATTTATTAAGCTTAACCAATAAAACATTAAAACACTTTTCTGTTTCCTCTCTCACTCTCCAGTCAATTCTTAAAACCTTTATTTTTTCAAACTGTTTCAGTATTGACACTGTAAATGTCGTTTCAAGCCAATTGCTAAAATTCTTCTGTTTTGATTGCACATGTTACATTTTGTTTCATTTTTTGATAAGAACTAGTGTTACCTGTTGGATCTCTTGCATAGTTTTGTATTTTTAAAATGTTTATATTTTTGCTTTAAACTGAATAAAAGTATGCATTTCTCTGTGCATTTCCTGTTGCAAGTTATGCTGTGTTGCAAATGTAATTACATGTAAACCTTTTTTAAAATAGTTTTTCTCCATATCAACACAGCTCTGACTGGCCTCCTGTGTCCCTCCACATCAGTCGCCTTAAAGCCACCTGAAAGTGACCTCCTTACCAGGAGCCCTGTGTCGCCATGCGTCTTATCACCATCTTCCTCCTCCTGCTGCTCCTCTGGTCAGCTGAACCTCGGAGAGGCCTCGGGTCAAAGGTTACAGAGAGGAGCGCCAGGGGTCGCGTACGAGGCCGAGGCCGGGCCGGGGTCACAAGGCGTCAAACTCAGGAATGTAAGGAGTACGTGGAGGGAGGGGAGAAGTTCCTGGACTGCCAGGATAGGCAGCTGACCTCTGTGATGCAGGACTGGCCCAAAGATGTTCACCACCTCCTGCTGGCAAGAAATAAAATTCAGGTATTTGTTGGCAGCTTTAAACTTCCTGGTGTTTAATGTTTAAGAGCCTTTAAAAAGACCAAGAAAGACTGTAAATAGTTGGAAAAGTCAGCCAGTTTAGTTGAGAACTGATGATTGACTATAAGCCCTTGAAGATGCTTAAGATGTAATTTTGTATTCTTTTTAAACCCAAGTGACAAAACCCTCAAATTAAAGCATTGCAAACTATAAAATTAAAAATAATAAAGTTTTCCCGAACAATCTCAAATGATGCAAATTGAAAGAGTTTACTTGAGTATGTTTCCAGATTTAATGATGTGCAACTCTAAAACGCAGGAACACACTCAATGCAAACAAAGCATTCATCTGCATACTTTACCGTATTTTCCAGCGTATAAGTTGCAGTTTTTTTGCATAGATTTCTCAGTCCTGCGACTTATACGCTGAAGCGACTTATATACGTATTTTTTTCCATATTCATAGAATATTCATATTCAGCAAGTAAACAAATGCACATAGTAGTAGGTCATTTTAGCTCAGAATGTGAAAAACTGTCTGAGTTGTAGCCATGTTTGTGTTTTACAAAGTCATTTGGCTGTGGTAGCCATCTTGATTCAGGTTGAGTCTATAAAGGTTAAACAGCTGTACATGCAAAACCCAATTTTGGAAGTTTCATTAAAATCTCTTCATGAGATATTTTTACCAACATTAATGTACCTTATTTTTCGGACTATAAGGTGCACCGGATTATGAGGTGCATTAAGCGAAACAAAACAGTTGGATAAGTTAAACTTTATTCAACTCATTCACAATAACCACATAAAATTGGTTCGAGGTCAGTAAGCAGAACTAGAATTCATACATAAGGCGCACCTGATTACAAGGCTCACTGTAGATTTTTGAGAAAATTAAAGGATTTTAAGTGAGCCTTATAGGCCAAAAAATACGGTAGTTTGAGCCAAGTTTAAAAGGAGTTTGAATAATGTGGACTGAAAAATAATTGGGCTCAGACAGTTTGCTTTTCAGTAAAATCAGTACAGTAGGTTTGGATGAATGTTTACTACAATTACAGCCTCACTTGTTCCAGAAAATATATCGGAGTTAAGAAGATTACAAACCCAGCCAACTTGTTGAAACCTCGAGCATCTGTTCACCATTTATCTGGGACTGAGATCAAAAACACACTCTGTGTGTGTGTGTGTGTGTGTGCGTGTGTGTGTGTGTGTGTGTGTGTGTGTCTGTGTGTGTGTGTCTGTGTCTGTGTGTGTGTATATGTCTGTGTGTGTGTATGCGTGGACTTGTGTGTTTTTGGGTGACCAGACTGGATATGTATGTCCATGAGCAAGTAAAAAAAAAAGTTCTACACAACAAGTAGAATAAATAGAAACCAATGATCCAGAAATACAGATCAATTATGAGTAAAATAAAAGGAAAAAGTTAAAAGTAACAAGGAAAGGCACAAAACAAATTTTGTTTTATTTGTCTGAACATGGTTATATTTCAAATGTTTTCAATAAAGTCAGAATTTGAGCTTCAAAGCATACAAGCTTGTCTAATTAAAAGGCTTGAACTGGTTTAGAATTCTTTTAGATCATGCAATTAATTTAACATGTGGAACACAGAAGTCTTTTGTTCTTCAAAACACAAAACTGAACCTTATTATTTTAATCTGACAGTTGAAGTAGCCTTAAATTAATGCCTATTTTAGTTTTATAAAGATTTATATGTTTTTCATGAGATCATGAGAAAGTTATGACACCCCTTATTGACTCAACCACTTATGAGCTGCTGAAAAGAGATCCAGGAAGTGGTTACAAGAAGAAGTTGATAGATTGTCTGAAACATTTGGAGCAGGACAAGGCAATTGACCATATTCTGTACCACAGACTGTACCCAGGGGAGGCCACATCTAGTCTGTATGGTTTACCTAAAATTCACAAACAAGGTGTACCTTTAAGACCAATTGTTAGCATGATTAACTCTGTCACTTACAATTTTTCCAAATATCTGGCGTCTGTACTCATCCCTTTAGTTGGCAGCTCAGAACACCACATACAGAACACCATGGACTTTGTGGATAAGGTGAGGGATGTCATCATGGAGACTGATGAAACAATGGTCTCTTTTGATGTCACATCACTCTTTACGTGCATTCCTGTTGAGGATGCAGTAGAGGTGGTCAGTTTAAGATTAAAATCAGACACCACTCTGAGCAGCAGGACCACGCTTTCCACAGAACAACTGTGTCAACTCTTGAAACTGTGCCTGCAGTCAACCTACTTCACATATGGGGAGCAATATTATAGGCAGAAACATGGGTGTGCTATGGGGTCTCCAGTTTCTCCTTTTGTTGCCAACCTGTACATGGAGGAGGTAGAAAAGAGAGCCTTGACGTCCTTTTCAGGGACACCACCAAGTCATTGATTCAAGTATGTTGACGACACCTGGGTTAAAATTAAATCTCAGGAAGTCCAACATTTTACTGACCACATCAACTCTGTGGATAAATACATCAAGTTCACACGAGAAGATGTAAAAAATGGCA